TGGACGGAAGCTTCAAGAAAATAAGACTTCTAGTTGTCTGTTCCTTTATCCTTCTATTTATGGTTCTCCTTGTCTCTCTCTCTCTCTCTCTCTCTCTCTCTCTCTCTCTCTCTCTCTCTCTCTCTCTCTCTCTCCTCTCTCCCTGTCTCTTTGTCACTCTCTTTCTCATGTTCTTTTTCTTTCTCTGTCCTTGTATATGTATAATATATATATATATATATCTCTCTCTCTCTCTCTCTTCTTGATCTTGCTCTTTCTCTGTTCGTTCTCTTTCTCCTATTTCTATCTTTCTGTCTTTCCATCTACCCATCGATGTGTCTAATCCACGTGTCTATCTACCTTCTCACCTATCTGTCTATCCGTCTACCTATTTGCCGATCTAGTTGTCTATCTAAAACCTAGCCTAGTCCAACCTACTCTATGTACTTATCCTGTCCCATCCTGCGCTGGCCTATCCTACCCTGTGTACCCAACCCATCAAGCTGTCTATCTATATCTACAACCAACCAGTCCCTGCTTCTCAATTTAGCTATCTATCTCTCAGTCTATCTGCCTATCTAGCCATCGATCGAATCTGTCCTTCCACCATCCATCCATTCATCTATCTATCCGTCTGTCTATCGTCCATCTGCCCTCCTCTTCTTTCTATGATCTAGTCCTCCCCGTCAATCTGCCAATCTCTCTCGCTCTATCTATCTATCTATCTACCTCCCTCTATCCCTGTACCTGCCCAACCTGTCTGGTCTATCTACCCACAAATATCTCTTTCTACCGGTCTATCTCACTCTCTCTCTCTCTCTCTCTCTCTCTCTCTCTCTCTATCCAGCACCAATCTATCGATGTATCTCTCTTGATATGTTCTTCATTCTGTCTATCTTACTTATCTTGTCTATCATATGTATCAACCGATCGGTCTCTCGAAGCTGTGACCATGCCAAAGTGCCGCGCGTGCAACGCTATCTGCACTTTGCGAAAGCGCCGCACCTGCCTGCGAAAGTGCTTCGTCCGCCAGGCAAGCTACTGTTGCGAAAAGTGCGCGCGTCCGTGCCAGCTCCGAGGTCGCTCGAGATCGCTCTGACCAAGCGTCGCGGTCAGCCTAGCTTTCGACCCGAAGCCCTGAAACCCGCAGAAGGTCGCACTGTTTTGACGCGCGCTGTCTCAGCTCAAATAGTTGGCGCACCACGGAAGCTCCTTCTAAAACTTCCTCTGACTACCCCCTGATTCAAGCTTCAAGCATTCGATGCCAAGCTCCAACCCTCACACATGCCATGGACAAAGCGTCTGCGCTTTTGACGTTCGTTTTTCCATAGCATGCTCCCGATTTTTCGCCTCAGACCTCTTCGAGATCTCCCCCACAGTCAACCCGCGTTGCGCGACCCACACCGATGCTCCAGCTGCCTCCAGACCCTCCGTCGCAGGTCCCTGAGGCCAGACCCTTCCGCGGCCCAAACCAGCATTGAGGCATCGACCGCGCCTTAGACCCGCAATTCTCCCCAAAAACATCCCTGATAGAAACTGGTCAAATTCCCCTCTATCCATCAAATCTCCTTCGAAAGCCAAGCCCCTTCAAACTCTGATCACCCGGTCAAATTTCCCAGTCTAAAGCTGTCTAGAGACCAGTCAAATTCCCTTCGAATCTACGCTAGAAACCGGTCAACGCTGCCCCGTAGAAGCCGTCAAATCTCCCTGAAAACCCAGTCAATTTCGGCACCGACTCACTCACTCAAACACAAGACTTCAGGCAAACCAAAACATCTTACCTCAAAGCCAGCCAACAGGATACTGGCCGGGGCGGGCAACGCGCTTCGCAAATGTCAATCATTGAAACCCATTGAGTGGCCGAATGGCTGGAGTTCTGCGCAACTTGCAATGCAAGAGCATCGTCAGACGCATCGCGCCCGGGTACATGTACCTAGGTAGGTACCAACGCCTTTCAAACCCTCAAGCATCCTAGGGTACCAGAGGACCTGGGAGTGCTATTCGAAAGTGCTGGGAGAAGCAATTCAACAGTGGACATCTGCAGCACCTGTAGGCCTTTGAAATCAGCCAATCCAAAACACCCAAAAGCGCTGAGCCCTGTAAATCTGTGAAACGAATGGGACCCAGTTGCCCAACATTCTGGTCCTCTGGCCGGACACCCAGGTTTCAAGGCCGCCAGACCTTCAGCGGTGAGCCCAGTTGAATTTTCCAGGCCCACCCCCAAACAAAATGGAACAAAGGGCGTCACAAAGGTCCGCACCATTGGCCTTCAGCCGTCTTCGAAAGGGTCTTCGCCTTCGGACATCCTGGCGAGAGCGATAGCTTCCGATGATTCTGGACATAGAACATCAAACAATGCAGCTGCAGTTGCCAGCAAGACAGGGCCAATCTATACACCCTCCTTGCTTTTGCATGGTATGTTGGGATGCTCTGGAACGATGCACGGCCCTTCCTGGCACTATGCTCACAAGTGGCAACCCTCGGTTCGACACGAGATTATGCAGGGCCTGATGCATCCCTTCGCATCTCATGCTAGGCCGACACCAATGCAATGAAACAATTACGCCAACTCCAACTGCAGTCTCATGTTTGGTATCTCTGAACAAAGCTCTTGTCTGCCCCGAACCCCTTTCCACGTGGGACATCTCATGCCAAGGACAGAAGTGGAAATGGGCCCCCATGAATAACACAAAAGAGAAAAGGCTTCATTCATTCTGATAGCCAACACACGTGGGCCATTTGTTCCAGTCAATGTCCAAATGCCGGGCATGTTTTTCCTTGCAATCAGCCGCATGATCACAACCAGCTAGCAGACTGCCTTGCTTGGAGGATGCCGCTTGGTCAAACAATCCCCAAGCTCAACCGACAGATCTGCTGATAGAAAGACTTGAGCAACATACCCAAAGCAAGGCGAAATTATGCAGATAAAACGAGCGATTGCAAGCAGTTCCATACTTGGTGAGCTCGTCCCCAATCGGTAAGCTTGTCTGAGCTTGCGCTGTCGGCCGGCCGGCCTGGACAGGTTGATCACCGAGTCCTCCGGGCTCTCATCCCCATGTTTTGCGAACATCATCTCCTGAAGCGCTGGGGCGGGTTCCCAGGTCTGTTTGCGAAACTCGCTGTCTCCTATGGATCCCAAAACAGCCAAGCTTGTGACATCAACTTATAACTGTAGTATCCAAAATGCACCACAGAAGTTGAAGCTCACAGGCTCCCTGCTTGCAGTAGAAATGGTTTGCACCTGGTCCCAAAGCAGGTGCGCTAGTCGCGTTCGCTCATGGTTACTGACGACCACGTGATAGAAACATCACACGCATGTCCTTTCGATCTCAGCATTGGGAATCGCTTCCTTGCTTCAGCCAAAAACCATCACTGAAGGCAAAGCAGCTTTGTCTCCCAATTGATGCAGGTAAGTTGGCTGGCTGAAGGCTGTGGTTAGACTCATCTCATCTCCCTGGACTGGAATGTGCTTCTTGTTGCCTTGGAAGGCACGTGACTGGGTGAACCACTGACTCCGGTTCCAGATGCATGACTTAAAGGACTTACAACGATACGTGATTCACTGTGAGTTCTACCTCTGGACTTCTTCCTTTGGGACCAACTCTGCCTAACCACATGGAACCCTAACCCCGACTGAGAACAGCCCACTTTTGGGATTGGACCTCTTTGGGCTCACCAGGCAGTTCTCGAAACATCGAAACCTCCATCCTCATGATGTAGTTTCTCATGGGTGTATGGAGGTTTAAAAGGGGAAGTTTGAAAGGTACCAAGCGATTCGTAGCTTTCGTGTCAAGCGAAACCAAAACGACTCGCCTGGAAGGAAGCCAAAGAAAAGCTGTGTTGTTGAAGTCATACCAGAGTTGGCCAACCTGTTACACATTCAACCCCATTGTTTCTGTCCACGTTTAGGGGACAAGGGGTTGGTGGTACACATCTCCCCTTTCGGAACCCATCCGCTCCATCTGCTCATCGCTCAGGCCGTTCACCCCCGTCAAGGTCGCCATCTGACTTGTGAGCTCTTGAAGCTTCACCTCGCTAGCAAGCAAGCAAGCAAGCAAGCAAGCAAGCAAGCAAGCAAGCAAGCAAGCAAGCAAGCAAGCAAGCAAGCAAGCAAGCAAGCAAGCACGCAGGCAAGCCAGCAAGCACACAAGCAAACAAGCAAACAAGCAAACAAGCAAACAAATCTACAAGCCTCACAAATAGTACAAACAGCACAGACAACACAAACAATATTGCAAGAGCATGTGTGCACATCGCAGTTCGCAGGAAGGTGTTGAGGTCTCAATTCATTTGAGAAGACGAGATGATTGACAAGAAGAACAACAACCTTGTGGACCAGCTGATATATGGAAAGCCAGCAGTTCAGAATTGATTACATCCCACTTACGTCATGCATCACGGGCATTGGAAATAAGGTTGGCGAATGCGAGCTTAAAGGAGTATTGGTGTGTCTTTTTCTCAACAAGCTGAACTTCCTGGCCGCTCAGCCAAAGGCGCTCGTGCCGGGATCAAATTTCGGAGATAGCGTGTCGTTAATAGTAAACCGGCAAGTTTTGGCTGGTGGGAAATCACCAGATTGCACAACTCGTGAAACCCCCTTATGGGAAATTGGGGCTCGGCCCCAAATGAAAGGCTGAACATGGCCCCAATCTTCTTAAGAAATCCCGAAGGTCGATGACCTTTTGCAGATTCCGAAAGGTCCTTTCGGATAGATTGCTTACAACCAGCGCCGCGCAAAACAAAACACTACTTTATCACGACAGTATGGAACGCAACTGAATTTGGCGGCACAGGACGACAAAAGGACCCTTTTACCAGTGTTCTACCCTGGTGGTTTGCTCTTTGCTTTGAGGTTCAGAGCAACCCTGAACATGGAACTCTGAAAGCGCAGAGGGTTCTTGTGGTACCTTTTCAGAGTCGTCTGTGCACAGAAAATCTATATGTTCAGATTAATGTTGTGACTCTATCCTCTAGCCAAGGAACAGGAGTAGGGTTGGGAGCTGCAGGGGAGGGGGAGTGTCTGCATGAAAAATGTATCACTATAAAATAGATTCATAGGCTGCATTATCAATGTGCAGCTTTTCTGGCATATTAGATGCGGAGCCTCTGCGCAACGCAGTATAATGCAGAAGCGGCACCTTAATGTTTGCATATCATTGGGCAGACACTTGGTTGCAACTTAAGCTTCTTGAGAACAACAATGTCTACACAAGTTGGCCTGTTGGAACACTGTGACACGCAGCTGTCAGAAATTGTTACAAGTTGTGTCAAACAATTCTGAACAACTTTGAACAACCAGGGCCCGCCAGACATTCCGCTCAAACACCCACATACACACATTAAACTCAAGAGCCACAGATTGAATTACAATATACTACAATCCCAAACGAGAGAAGACTCCGAACATCATGAGCCAAACAACAAAAACACATTTGAATCTTCAAGTTGAAGGTTCGGACAAAGCAAAACTATGCTATGGGCAGCCTACGCTAGCCTTTCTCCTAAAGGGCCTAAAGGATCCCTTGGCAGCCTCTCAAAAATGTTTTACTGGGGGCAAGGGGTTGAGGTACAGGTATCAAAACACCCTAGGACAACATCCATCCACCCTGTACAGGTATCAAAGAAATCGAGGGATGTGTTCGGGTCCTTTCTTTCCAAACATCCATCCATCGGTTCCCCATTCGAAAACGCCGCGAAATGAGTTCAGCAGCACCCACAACGGCCAGTCGCCTCAATGTAGGCCTGGAAGTGGCCCTGGTTTCTCAGCTGCCAGGTCCTAAGGAACCCCGTGATTCTCACCGTGACTCACAGGGAAACCTTTCAGATCCCATGGCTGAGGGGAAACAGAAGGAGCACCCATCGGAAGCCCAGAAAGTGATTGGGTGACTGAATGTGACCGAGTTTTCCAGTTCTTCCATGGGCTGAAGTGGGTGTTTGCCTCTTGTCTCACCTGAGCAAACAAAATGAGGAGGACATGCCAAACAAAAGGTTACAAGTTTGCCAACTCGAAAGGCACCAACCAGTTTGTGTTTGGCATTTCAGTGAGAGTCTGCCGGCTCCTTTCTCTGTTGACACCGACTTATTTTGCCTGAGTGTCTGGTTGCTGATGATCTTGCCCACGTCTATAGCAGTCGCCTGGCCTCGTAGCCGCAAGCAGCCCATAAGGAACTCCTGGCCGATCGGAAGTCAGAGCCGTCAGGTCCCAAGGGGTTTGGTTTTTGGGAGTCGGTACCCTCTTGGGGCTGGTTTCAAGGAAAACCAATGCAGGTAGGACAACCGCCCAAGTTGCACCCGAATACCGGAGATGTGTTCTTTGAGGGTATTCTTCTTTATGCTGGTTTGAGGGGAAACCAAGAGGCAACCATTTTCGGGCAGAAAAACCGTCCTCAAGGGGTACCGAGTGAAACTGATGCGTATCAGAATGCTCATTGGAGCTTTTTTGGCAAACATCATGTACACGGGGATTTGCCCACCAACATTTTCCAGAGAGCTCACCCTTTCCGGGGTTGCCTTTGAAGGACGACCAGAGGCAAACAAACCACCTTGGAGGGTGTAGCCTTTTTCAGACTCACCCACAGCAATCATGTTCCTGCCGGAGTCCCATGATTGAAGCGCCCTGTGAGTGGCAATCGTGACGTGGGAAACATGACTGGTTAGGGTTTACTTTGACAAGCAAAAACCAAATAACATGATAATGGAGGCGAACTCATTCCAGATTCCAGTCCCGTGACCGAACTGAGAGCGGTTATCCCTAGATCCCGGGACTCTTCGACTTGTGCCAGCGCACCTCAATTTCTACCGCGCCGCCAGCGTCCAAGTCAAGGCACTTGAAGAAGGACCAGGCGTCCCAAATGTCTGGGATCGATCCGAAAGTCATAAGGCCATGGGTCAAAATCCCGTACCCCCAGTGAATGGCCCAGTGAACATCCCCTTCCCCACCAAAATTGACTGAAACGGGTGGTGCACCTACCCGAAGATGATACCACTGGTTTTGACCCACAGCCATAAGTCACAAGCCAACTTGCAAGAGTCCTTGCCAAATCCAGCTACACATGGCGTGCTTTCAGAATTACGCCTGTGATACCATGGAATTCCCATCCTGGTGACTTGTGACTAGGTGCCAAAGCTCATGGAATGACCATCACCTTCCCGTGGCCCGACCATGGCCTCAAGTCCCAACCACGGGAACCATGAGATACTGCTTCAACATGCTTCAACACGACTCACACTATGAAGTATATGACACAAGTAATTCACGGCTGGCGTGAGGCATGGGGCCCTCCACGGAGAAAGAAAAACACACACCACGAGAACCCAAAGGTTTGCATTGGGCCTCTGCCCATCAATACTGTTTGGAGGCAAGTCTAACCTCCTAATAACCCGCCAAAGACCTCGGAAGGGATGAAACGGTTGCTGCGGGGGAGAGTTTAGGTTGAGCAGCCTGCCGGATCTTGGGGGGAGACGAATCGATCAATCAGGGTCAGGACAGTGCCATGGGAGATCACCCCCAGCAAACAAAAG